GGCTGTGTGGCCGTGTTCTGGAAGTTTTGTTTCCTAACGTTTCGCCAGCATCTGTGACAGAACATGGCCACACAGCCCGGAAGACCCACACCAGCCATCTCTTCAGTTATATTTATCAGAATGAGTGTAGGTTTATATGGATTGTTCACTGAACTGTATCAACAAAATAAGGAGTAAAACAAGGCTGTATCCTCACACCAGTATTGTTTATTACTAATAGAAATTGCCATTCCCTCATATGTCAGCTTCAGAGTTCTTTCCTACATCTCTAGGTTCTTGGAAACTTCCCATTTCACCCTACAGTGATGATACTGTTATTCTCTCAATAACAAGAATTGAGTTGCAAGAATGTTTAAAAAGCTAGGACATTACAGGTAGTCCTCATTTAGCGAGCACAATTGGGACTGGCAACTCAGTTGTTAAGGGAAGCGATCACTAGTGAAACTGCAATTGTGCTATGATCTTACTTCAGCTTTCCTTTGCTTTACAGACCTGTGATGGTTGTAAATGCAAGGATTGGTCATAAAGTTACTTTTTCATTTGCTGCAGACGTTTTAGATACATTTCTGCAAACATATGCTTAAGGCACAAAAATGAATCCAGATGAAACTAGGAAAGCACAAAGTGTGCATAACCATTTGCACATCTTGCAAAGTAACAAGTGCAGCCAATAAGCCAACAGCAAACCATGTCCCAAACTGGTTTACTGTCGTAGAGCAAATTCTTGTTTATTCATTGATTGTATGCATAACTCATGCTAAGTCTTAAAAAAATAACACATATGTTATGGCTTAGTGTGATGTGTGACCCAGTTTTTAAACAATTGCAACTTAATGTAAGCTGGGTGGGTGGATGATGAAGTCTGAAAATTTATTTGTTGTGTAAAATGAATATATATTTAGTAATTTTGTTTTAGGACACTGGAGAGCCAGGATGGTGGAGAGGCATGCTTAATGGTAAAGAAGGAGTTTTTCCAGACAACTTTGCAGTTCAGATTCATGAATCAGATAAAGATTTCCCTGTAAGTACTTACTGCAGTTTTTAAAAATATTGTAGCTTTTCTTTAGAAAGCTGATATAATAACCAAGTAGTGTGTTTTATAGATTCATGAATATGCAGTCATAGTTTTTTTTTTAATAATTCAACATTCTATTTCTTTTCTCCTTTATTTTTTTGCCTTGCTATTTGCTCTGTTAATATAGCACTGCTATACCAGTGGACCTCTCTAGGGAGAGACCTCATTTGGGTGACTTTGGTCCAGTCACTATCATGTAGTCTAACCTTTCTCATAGACCTGTTATGAAGAGAAATGAAGTATCTTGGAAGATCGGGTGGGACAACCCCTATTATTAGCACTGTTCAGCACTTCAGGTTCAGTCTCCAAAAGGTACTTCAGATGTATGATTTGAGATAAAGGAGTGTTTGTTTTAAGATGTTGCATTCATGGCCATGCAACACCTTAAAACAAATGCTCCTTTATCTCAAATCATACATCTGCACTGCTTTAAGGTCATGCAGACAGATGCTACATTTCCACTCCTATCACCCCAAAGCTTCTTTTGGAAATTGAATCCAAAGTGATGGATACCTATAACAACAACAGTACTTTCATTTTTGGCTCTGAAATATTTTTAATTCAAATAAAAATACTGGCTTGGGTCCTTAAAACCCTAAGCAAAATTAAACTCATGAAAGTTTACATTTTCTTCCTTGCATACTAGTAAGCCATATGTTATTCTTGAACTGTATGCTTGGGCAATCAGAAGGTGTGGTCAGTAGGGTTTAGGGAAATATCTCCAAAGCCTACAGAAGAATGTATATATGTATAGAATAAGTAAAGGCATCTTGCATTAGTATGTATTCCAAAATTTGATGCTGGATTACTTTTTTGAGGGTGACAACAAGCATATGGAGAAGGGTGTTATGACAGACATTGTATACTTGGACTTCTAAAAATGACTTTAACAAAGTCACTCAAATAGTCTCCTGAGCAAATTTTGACAGGTGCCCCCATGGACAGGAGTTAGAGTAGGAATAAATGAAAAATACTAAAATTGAAGAGAAGTTCCAGGTAGTGTCATCCAGGAACTGGTATCAAGAATAATACTGATTAAGTGTTTATAAGCAATCTGGAGGTGAAGTGGCCAAGTTTGTTGATGATACCAAACTATTCAAGGTAGTAAAAGGGAAAAAAAGGATTGCTAAGGGCTCCAAAATGTGATCTTCAAATTCTGCATCTCTTTGATCATATAGTCCAACTTACTCGATTTCTGAATTGTATTTCACCAGCAAATTGTAGACAAGCCCCAGAAAATGGTCTGAATGTTGTGTTATAAGTTTTTCAAATTCAAACAGGTCTAAATTCTTATTTTAGATACTATTCAATGAACTTGAAAATTTGGGTTCATAGTTGTTCTGTTCCTGGATGGCTAAGAGTGTTTTTGATTGCCTTAGATTGGTATGCCAACTGCACCTTTTTCTGGAGAAGTGTAGTTAACCGCAGTCACCTATACATTAACCTTATCTTTACAGATACTCACTTTTTCCTAAGCAGGTAGTAATAAAACTTGTACTTGTGGAGAATAAGAGATTTCTGGGAAGTGAGGAGAAAGGATTAGTTGCTTATCCCCTGTCTTCTCTGCTTCCTCTCCTTTTTCAGCAATCAGTAATGGTGGTTGTTTTTTTTTTATTATCCCGCCTTTATTATTTTTATAAGTAACTCAAGGTGGCGAGCATACCTAATACTCCTTCCTTCTCCTATTTGGACATTTTCAAAAATCTCTATCTGCATATGGAGCTGTTTGTAATCCTTGCATCAGTAACCTGTAATCAGTACAACGGAGTCACTGAGTATACCTGTTGTCTTCTGGGTCTTAATTCAGGAAAATATTTGGCATAAATATTAGTTATTTATATTGTGTCCTCTTTGCAGAAGCCAAAGAAACCACCACCTCCCGCAAAAGGTCAAGGTATGTAAGATAGGCTTTTATTAGACTTTAATAGCAAAAGAGGATGAAGTTGATTCGAAATTGTTAATATATTCTGAGAGAAATGTATTTAGGAGAAATTGAACTTGATCAGAACAATTTTTTTTAAGATGTTGCTTATCAGATGAAATCCATTCATACCCAAAGTAGTTTACAACATTGAAATGTGGACAGTTTTCATTATTGGAAACAATGATGTGGCTGTTATTTGTGAGCCATCAGTTTCTGCTATACTGTACAGCTAGGTCTCGATTAGTGTGGTTAATGAATCCTACAAAATGGTCACATTATTCGAACTCACACTGTTCAAAGTGATATTTCTATGGAAAATAGGGTAATTGGTTCCAGTTTGTCATGGCCCAGGACTCAAGACTCTGACTCTGAAAAAGCTGCTCCAGCTGAATCAGTGGAATGTCAGCCTCAGAAGTCCCCAAGCCAGAAATCACCTGAGGCTGATCAAACACAGGCACCATCAGAACAGCTGGAGCAGTCAGATGATGATGTAGGGTCTCCAAGCCCTCAGACTTGGCAAGTAGAGTGGAGAGCAGAGCAAAGATGCTCAGTGAGGCTCCTTGCCAAACAATGGAGTAACTCTCTTAATTAAAGAGAGTGGCTGCAGCCTGTTTTAAGAGGCAGCCCTGACCCATGTTTCTCCATTGGAAACAACCATCCAGTTTCCTGCTCTGGTGTGTCATTCCTCTGAATCCTGCTTATGTAAATCTGACCCTGGACTGGCTGACAAACCTGACTTGGCTCTCTGAACTTTGGACTGGATTTTGACTACAGGCAGCTCCCAGTTTAAGAATGAGTTTTGTTCCCAAGGTCTGTCCTTAAGTCGAATTTGTACGTAAACTGGAATAGTATTATTGTATAATACTGTATGAGTAGTATTGTGTAATGAACTCAAGCCATTGTGCATTTAACTCGAATCATTGTATATTTAACTCGAATTTTGCTACAATAGCTGTATTCTTAACTATGGGTCATCTGTAAACCAAGCGTTCTTAATCTGGGGACTATCTGTACTCTTCTGTGTGCTCCTGTTGAAAGCGAAACCACCCAGGCAAGCTTTCTTTACAGAAGACTTTGTTGATTTACATTCATTCCCTTGCCTGCTGTGATCTGCTCAGTCTTGAGTAAATTGCTCTTTTCAACTAACAAATGAGTGTGTGTGAGTTTGAACCTGAAATGAGACACAGTTCAACAGAAATAGGCAATTGAAATTTTTAAACATAATTTTTATATGTTTATTAGTATACTGTATAACAGTAAAAGAGGATAAACCCATATTCAGAGTGTACCTGCTATCTCCTGTATTCTGCTGCAGGTCTTTAAAATGAACCTTCTCTTTATTGAGCTTTCCTTGAATGGAACCTTCCTTTCCTCCATTTTGCACATACGACAATTAGCACCTAAAACCCCAGTGGCAACTGCTCATGCGCTAGCCTCAACTGCATGTGTGCTAGCCTCCCACTAACTGAACTTTGGCTCACATTGAACACTATCTAGTATCAATCTGTAAATTGCCCTAAATTGAATTTCACACTATTTGAACTCACACTAATTGTGACCTACCTGTGCAATATACATGAGTCCATGAGTCCTAGGAATGCAGATGAGGAGATAATCCTCAACATGCTTCCATGTGATGGTGTGTAAACTATTTTTTCCCCCTATAGTTAAAAATGCTTTTTAGCAGTATATTTAATCATACAGGTTTTAGAAGGTTATGCTGTGAAACAATTCTTACTTACAAAGACTAGCATTCCTATGCTAGCGAGCACATTTCTACTTCTAATTGAACTTCTATTTCTGCCACATATTTGATAGGTGCACAATACATTTTAGCATTAATGATCATTATATGATTGTTACCCTACTAAAGCAGTTGTGATTCACAAATTAAATATTGGCTCTGCGTACAGGTTCAAAGGCTGACCTTCTGTCTGTGGAGAAAAAGTTTCCTCATCTCAGGAATGAAGAAAAGGGTAAGATCAGGTTTACCCCTGATACTAGGACTGTAGTTTAAAACAAAGCAGCTTTAACATAAACATAAGCATATGATTCAGGTGGTTAGAAAAGAGCTAAATAAGAACATCTCATCATGCAGTATTTGTAGAATTTTAAAACTGTATGTATATCCCTGAAGTAGTAAGCACTAACTATGAAATACCATTCAGTGCAATATTACAGGAGCATATAGGTAAAATAACTAGTTTTTGTAAAGCAGATGAGAGATGTAGGTGTTGTGTAAAATCTATTTTGTTGGCAGTAAAAGGAAATTTAAACTCCATGCAAAATTGATTTTAAAGAATGTAAGTTCATGTTTTTCTGCAAAAACTTTTGCTAATAAATCCTATGCCCCAGGGAGGTCAGTATTTTGTAGGCTTTATGGATAACATGCTGGATTCTACTTGTGTCCATTTAAAAAAGAGTCCCTTGCAAATTTATGAACCTGAGAAAGTAGACTAAAGGAAGGGAGCAAGATTCCTTGGCCTTGATTCAACTATGTGCTGTTTTCGTCTTAGTCTTATTTGGAATTGCTTCCAGAATGCAAATTGGGGTCTTTGTTCAGAACAACCTACATCCATGGAAGAAGCTTTTATAAATTATTTCTGCATTATGTTTATGGTAGCTTTACAAAATTAGTTTTCCAACTGCCGAAATATTATTCATTCACTCTAATTGCCAGATGAAAAACCAGCGTTGGATCAGAAGACATGTAAACCAGTGGCTCCCCAAGTTCCACCGAAAAAGCCTGTCCCTCCAAACAAGGCTAATAGTATATTAAAAGCTGGGATGTTGCATTCAAAATGGTCAGATAAAGCAGTTTTGCAGCCACCAGTTTCTAAGTAAGTATATCTTGTTTTGTGTGTGAAATATTTTGACATGCTGTTTTAAAATTTCTGAAAGGCAGAGTAAAGTTTGGACATTATAAGAGTTGCATATATGTAACTATATTGCAAACTCTTATTACATCCTTATTTACCTTTCATAACCCTGTCCTTCCAAGGAACCCTTTTGAGATTGGGGAAACACACTGCAGGTTTTTACATTCACACTTGTTTTTCCCATCTCAGTTTGCTTCTTCTTTGTTTGCCTGTTATTTGCTCTGACATTTAGAGCAGCAAAATATAATTTTTACTTTACTTCCAAAGTATATCTTGGAACCATAGATTGCTGAGTATGCAAATTATGAGTTGTAGTAACAGTAACGTAGTTAGCTGAGTTGGATACTGTGAAGACCTGTACTTAGATAAAAACACAAACTGGAGGAGGGAACTTGTGTGTAAGAAGGGAGCAAAATCTATGCGTCTCTGGATATATTTCAGCCTATAACCCACAATTTGAAGAACTGGATTCACACTGAGCTAATTTTTGTATAAGCATATATAAAGTTTTTGTTACATGTGTTTTCTTTCTTTTTTTCTCCTTAATTCCTGATAAAATTATTTAACTTGACTTTCAAACATAGGATAAATGGGGAAGTTGCGTCCTGGAGACCAAAATCTGAAATTGAGCCAGCAGTGAAACCAAAGTTAGACTCTGAACAGTTACCACTGAAATCAAAATCAGTAGAGGTAGACTCAGCCGCAGTTCGGAACTTGAAAGAAGCAGGTAAGCTTGAAAAGCATACATAATGAAGTCTCAATTTTCTGCTCTACAGTATTAGAAGCAAAACAAAGAATAAAGAACAGCATCTTCAGAAGGAATATATTATCATCAGTGGACTCTGTTGTAGGAAAGCATATGGGTTGGTCTCAAATGGCCTGTAGGCATCAGCATATGTGAAACTACTTCCCTTGATAGCCCTCAGGATCCCCACCATACTTCATACTTTCTTCTATACTTTTAATGGCAAATTTAAATAGAAAACTATCTTGTAGCAAAGCAAAGTATTTAACCTCTAGAATCATAAGAATGCTTCTGAGTCCCTTATAAGGCCCGTAGGCATTGTTAGAAAACGGAAAGGGTGGATGATTGCACCACAGTGCTTTACTTGCTCACCTGCCTTGAAAAGAATACCCTGAGGTTTGCCTTCTGATAAATGGCTGTGTTCTGTCCACCATTGCTGCCACTCTGTGAATAAGCCTCTCAATAGCAAATGTTTCTGACCTCCTTTCAAAATTCTAGATCTGTCCACCAGCCCCAAATGTGGACTACTTCTTGCTTATGACATAATAAACGTATTCATTTTTTAAGATACTGCAAGATTTTCCCTACCACAAACTTCTGGAACTATTAAAAATAGTTATTAAAAAAGACTCTAGAGACTTCTGGAATTTATGTATTTGTTTATTTTGGATTTGCTCCAATATTTGGAAAGCTAAAATGATGTGCACTGTATACCACTGAGAATGCTTATGCCCATTTAAAAGTTAGCATTTCATAATAAGTAGATAATGGGAAAAATAATGTTTATGTATAATGCATTTGTTTTTGTTTTTTTAAAAAGAGGGTCCTTAAAACATACTCATACTCATATCAGTTTATTACAGTCTTAGACCAGTACAAGAAGTACAAAACAAGCTCTTTTACATTATAAAAATCATTTTCCTGCTATTTTGTTATGCTTCAAAAGTAAGGCCTCAAGCATCTATTTCATTAAAGTTCAATGCATGTAAAATTTAACAAGGAATGATTTACACTAACTTAAGAGTTTTTTATAATCCACACGTTTTGTATTACAGTAATTTGTGTTAACATCAGAACGGTTCTGCAGAAGCAAATTGAATAAATTAGTATCTGATAAGCAAACTGAGGGTCTAGTAGGAATAAACTGAGTTACCATTCATATTAGCAAAGCAAAATCAGAATACAGAAGCAAAGCACAATAATTCTTTCATAGTTTGTAGATTATTACTTGGGGTTGGTATTTCCTTCAGAATCTTTATTTTAATTAGAGTGCAAGGGTAGTATAGTAGTTAAAGTGCTGGACTAAGAGCCCAGATTCTAGTTCTTCCTTGGGCATGGAAGCTGATTGGGTGACTTTGGGCCAGTTACTCTCTCTCAGCGTAGATTAGTTTAAAAAAAAAAAAAACTACTAACCTGCACTGGTGAGATTAAACTCCATAACCTTCATCCTGCAGTGGATTGATTCAGGCCAATTATCTTATCTTTCTTGTTTTTCAGCATGATGTGAGCTTTACCATGTTGGATTGTTTATAAAAATCCAGCCTTGCATTTAACAGATCTAAAAAGCTGAATTTGGCTGAAATTACTGTGACTAGCAAAGAGATATCAGTGTCATACCTGACTTCTTCACAATCACTATTGTAGGACCTCTTCCCATAGGGCCTTTTAATATTTTCATTTGTCTGTTACATCTGAGGAAATATCATTTGAGCTTTAGTGATCAGGGCAAGGTATGTATGTTCTTTCATCTCTTAATATCTCTTCTTCTGAAATAGGATTTTCTGTTGTACTTCAGCATTTTACTTGTAATTCAGATCAGGCAGATCTCAGAAACACTTGCTAGGCAGTCAAACAACACACTGATTTTTCTGCAAGGACAGAGTGCACCCAAATTTTAAAGGAAAGGGGGTTTTTTTTGAGGCTCATTTTTCTGTCAAAAAGTATACCAAAGTTCAGCTTTCCATCTGTCATGAAATCATTTTAATGTTCATATTAGGAAAAATAAAAGTGTACTCCCTTTTTCTTGTTACATGATTTTCTCAACATATGCATTTGTGATCTATAAGGTACTTTTATGACTGATTAAATAGCAACTAACCGCCATATATTAAGGTTCTTCACCCTGGCCTTTGGTGAGGGAGAATGAAGCCTCTCGGCTTTATTCCTGTCCAGTTTATTATTCCTGGCTTTTCTCTCTCTCTCTCTTTTAATTTATTTATTCTGTTTCTTTGTATTTGTTGTTGTGAACCACCCATAGTTGTTGGGAATTTGATAAATACATACATGCATGCATGAATACGTACATAGCTATTGACAAATCCTCCCCACCCCATTTAAACAACAAATGATTTATTGCCCTGACCTGAGCAAAGTTCTTACCGTAGGCCAGAAGTCCTAATTAAGGAATAAATGATAGGAGTAAGATGATGTGACCCCATTCCATGATGATCAGTAGGAAGAAGTTTTAGAATCTTAGGCTATACGTTTACTTCTCCTGCAGTGGTCGAGGAGGTTATGTGACCACACACAAATACACTTTTTTTTTCTTTTTACATTGTGAGAAGAAAAATGCTAGTGGCCTAAAACGTATTTTAATATAGATATGTTTTTTAATCACATTTAATAATAAAAGCAAGGGCTAACTTGGAGATGACCTTTGGGGCAATGAGAGGAAGTAAGTAAAATTTGCAAAACTAAGCAAACTGTTAAATAAGCAAAATTGTTGATGGGAACAGACATGACAGGGACAGAGGGAACAGGGAAATGTGGTAATATTAGCTCTGGGAACGTTATGAAAATCCTGAGAGTCATGATTGTGGTTTGCGGTTTTAAAGGATAAGAAGGAGTACAACCAAGGTGTCGGGACCACATGGTCAAGCTGTCTCAGTTGACGGCTTGCTCTTGTTGGTCCGCATTGCAATGTGAATCTACTAAGTAAGTACCTTGTATGCTTATGATTGAATTTTACTTGCTTGTTGAACTAACGTTTAATAAAGTTTTTAGAACTTTGAAGTGACTTGTTTTACGGTGTGTCTTTCTCCCGTGTTTAATGTGGTTTTTCCCTGACATGTACACTCTTGCATGTTAATCAATAGGAAGAGCTTTTAGAATTCTGGCATGCACAGTTGGAAGGACCCTATATGATTTCTTTTCAAGCTGTGGAGACTTCTTGCTTCACAGGCCAATCGGAAGAGTTTTTGAGGCTTCAGATGTTCCTTCTCCAAACCTGTCAGAAATGGTGTAGCCAATTTTAGTGTAGAGGTCCATATTTCATGCCCAGTTATGTTCAGAACAGGAAGGAATGAGCTCCTTTCAGGGACCTTTATTCAAATGTCTATAAAGGTTTTAGGGGAGGGTATTTCCAGATAGCCATCAATCATAAATTGCAGCAGAGTTTATGCACTAGACCAAAGAAAGAAAAATGTAATCATTTATAACACCTTAATAAGATAAAAAAGCATAATTAATCTTCTTTTTAGATGTAGGACACTATTATTCAAAGTGCAGTAAATTTTGTTACCAAATAAAAAGAAAGAAAAATATTTGGTAGGACTGAGACTGAAACGACAAAAAGTAGTTCTTCATACAACCATGTACAGTTGTGGTATTTTAATAGTTGGGATTTTAATATTACAAAAGGGAACTGTCCATTATGTACACTATGGAAAATATAGGTTATTTGGGCATGGAAAAGTGTTCGATGTATCAAATCTAGCAACCCCTTTTGTGCTTGGTTGGAGTAAAGAATTTGGGGAGGTTGCCAACCTTTTCCTTTTTACCCAGAGGGAAAGAGAGAGTGTAGAAGACTGGACTAGATCAGTCCATGTAGGGTTGAAACTATGGGATAGTTCTGAAAGGTTGCATTCATGTGTCTGTTGGTCTGGGTGGGGGATGTTTGTATAGAGAGGTCACATGAATCTCCCAGAGCAATCCAAGGAAACTTAAGCAAGCAGTTTTGTCTATGTACAACTTTGGGTTCTAAAACTTTGTTCTGGATGACACTGGAAGGGTGAGTTTGTAGAGAGTCATGTGACCCACTCCTTTCATCCCTGCCTGAAACATTGCTTCTAGTGATCACAGAACCATAAATCATCTATTGTCTTAAAGGGATGGGGTATATAATGTATCTATAGAACTATGCATTTATATTTCTAAGTATTTTTTTTCCAAACAAATGATTTTTTAAAAAAGAAGTCCCCTAATCTTCATATACTCAGGGATATAGATTTTTTTGCTCAGTTTAAGAACCAAAATTGATTTGTCTTTTTATCTCCTTTCCCTCTCTCCCTCCCCCCATGCACATATCTTTTCTCTTAGTGAAACAACCTTTCTACAAGGTAACCATATAAAACTGCTGTTTAGTTTTATCATTTCTGTCTAGAATATCATTATAAAGGATCTGTTGCTATATGTGTGTCTATAGTGTCAGTGGCACACATCCTTTACTACCTTAGCAATGGTGCTGACAGTTTTTGAAATATTTCCACTAAATATTTCAGTTTCTGACTTGCTGTGCACCTCACTGGATTGTTTTCATAATGTCCTTTCCAACTGAGCTTAAGGCAAAACATAGATGTACCACAGCAACTGTGGTGGGCTTGTTTGGAGAGAGATTCCTCCTTCAGAGGAATGGAGCAACAGGTCTCATTCCCATCACAGCCTCTGTATGTAAAGAATATATGGTTATATTTGTTAAAATATTTAAATACTTTCATCAGTCTCAGAGTGGTGCCATCAGTACAGGAACAATGATCAGTGCTGTAGATAAAACCTTTAAATAGTTGGATTTGTTTTTATTAAAATCTGTTATAAGACTAGGTAATCTATTATAAGACTAGGTAAATAAAAATAGTTTTGCCTATCTGGCAACGTTGTCACTTGAGGTTTTTTTGTTTGTTTTTGAGGAAGAGATGTATATATGAGTAGGGCAGATATATACCTGTCCACAGCACATTTAGTGTTTAGGACAATAACTGAATCAT